CGTAGCAGGAGGCCTCATTTCAACCCAAACTCTACATCGCCGACGACTATTCCGCAGGAAACCAAAACAATTTAAGAACACTTGTTTCACCTGCCGGTTCTCTCTTTTGGGCCGCAAATCCACCTGCTCCGGTTGGCAACAGCAGTGCAGCGCAGCTGGTTCAGCGAATACAATTGGCAGCAGTGACAGGCAGCGCGGGGCTCCACAACAATGTCAACAGCCTGCATGTTGCAAGGTGGGATTGAATTTTGCAAACTCGTGGTGCGCTGGCTTGGTCATAGAAAGAGATAGAAATGCAGAAATGAAGCAGAGTGGTGTGTACCGGATCTTGCCATTCCCCAAGTAGCAGACTCCTTCCATTATCACTTATCGGCCCGATCCGGTCCGCTGTCTCACCTCTCACAACTGCGGTAGGGTGCGCACATTTCCAAGGTAACTATTGCTGTGACTTCCACGGAGAGGCCATCGGCCCGACGGTAGGGCGGTGAACCACAATAATCAAAATCAATCGTCCCAGCACGCCGACTTCTCGTTCGGTGCCCCGCCCACCGAACACAACAACGAGCACACACGCGCCAGCGACAAAGTAGTCAGAGATCAAGACCAGCCTCATCAAGAGACAATCTATCTGCTCACCTCACGTGCTACCGTGCGTTTACAACAGGTTCGAACCCCATCGTTGGACGTCCTCGTAGGAGTTCGTGAACTTGTGCAGGTTTCTCCGCCGTACCTCAACGCAGTCAGTCACTGTTTGTCTTTGTGCTCCATATTTATCCTCTCAGCTTACAGTAGCACAAACGTTCCGTTCGCGATCTTGTTCGGGTTAGCAACTGCCTCTTCCATGCTTCTCGTTCATGCACATTATTTTCGTGATGAGAATTGCTGTCGCCTTCGACGTGTATAAAGTTGTACGGATATGTACCGTAGATAGAGATGTCTCCGCCCCTGTTCCACAACCACATTTATGAAATGTGCTATTGTTGATATGCTCCTCTCAGCTTAGACTAGAGCAACAAGCGTTCCGGTCGCGACCTTTCGAATCGACCATCGTGGACCCCTGTCTTGACTCGGATCTCCTTGTGCTGCTGCCACTGCTATTGTAGTGAATAGCCTGTCTACTCATCTCGCCAATTGGATGATGATCCGGCGACGAGCCGTGGGTAGATCGACAATTACATCCCCTGATGACACTGCTGTGTGTGTGTGTTTTGGTCTTAAATTTATTTAGATTATTATATAATGGCGACGGTCCCCCCATCTTTCGTGGTGAGACGTGTACTACACTTTCAGCGTATGTAGAGTACTACATTTTTCAGTGTATTTTTTCGTACAACTACAACGCCCCACCTTCCTCCTGCGGTGCGTGCTGAATTTTATTTTTATCGCGAGAAGGATCCAGCCGTCCCTTTCACTCGTCAACGATGCTAACGTACTGTTTGTATCCATATTGCGCGTGGGAATTTCTTCGGTGGCGTTGGGTATAGCTACACACAGAGTTGTTTCGACTACTTGCCTACGCACGGCGGATTATCCCCGCATCAATCCCATTTGGCAAGTCCACATCGCCGTATCGTGCACCCGTCCGTATTTTAACGCTTTCTTGTCGTACTTCGATAATCCAAGCGGCATGATGAAGTGCATCTTATCGACATATGTTCATTTTGCGTTGTGAAGTACCAAGATTGAACCAAGGGGGTGTACCTCTTTCTCTCCGGCCTGCGATGGTGACTCCTAGTCTCAGTTGTTACCTCGCATAGCGCGCAGAGGGAATGGAGGACTCCAGAATATCTGTCGTTGATTGCTATTGACTTGCGGACCCCTCGGGGCCAGTTTATTTGAGTGTACCTTTAGGGTAAGTTAACCTTTGACCACGGGAATCGACCGCGTCGTGTGTTGGATCAGTACGGACATACGAAGGTACTGGATAGAGAGAGATCGGAACGGTTCGTGTGAAGACAACAACAACAACAACAACAATAAGGCATTAGTTTCGTGGGTACATTGCAAACAAACTGTTTGTGCACCACTAGTCCAGACATTTCACATGGCTCACCCGACTCCGAATACATGCAATCTCATCTGCCGAATTCACAACCCGCGTGTCCCCTAGGTCGGAAAACTGTACATCGCCTGGTACTGGAAAATTTTGCGCACTTGTCTTCAGTGTGAAAAAGTGTTCCCACGTGGGTTCCGCCGCTGTGTACGATAGAAAAAAAATTGCAGCAGAAAACGACAGGTAGATATGCGTATTCATATGCATATTCCAGCCAGCAGTTTCAGGTGGATGTCGACGGTTGGAAAATAAATGGAGATTGCCATCTGGTTCCGGGCAGAGTGCCCTAGTCCGCAAGGATGGGTGTGACTGTTCCCGTACGATGCCATGATAACTAAGAACAAACCTCTATCATATGTACAATCTATGTACAGTATTTTGCAAGAGGATCGAAAAGATCGTCCAGGCGCATCTATTCCCTGCCTTCCTCACTCCGGCGTACCCACTTCGAGCGTACTCTTGCGTTCTGTGTCCAGCAAAGAATTGATCGAGGAGAACAGACAGGAGAAGTATTTATCTTGGCAGTTTTATTTCGCGGTCAACGTTACAATCGGGGGCATATCTGCTGCTGTGTGGGGTGGCAGCGTTCAAAAATATTGAACTCGTCAACACGGCCTCCGCTTTAGCGAAAACACAGGCAGCCATTCCAACCTACCGGTCGTTACAGAGTAGAAGGTTACTACATAGTACTACTCTCAACATTAGATGTTGACCACACATCAGTCAAGCAAATCCCGAATAGAAAAATGACGCCCAGCAGGCAAACGTGCTGCTCACTGCCACGAGCATCTCGCATTCCACGCGCTTCGCTAGAGTAACGAGACAACACGCACGTATGATCAATCTGCGTTCTATTCATCGACGAGTGCACACGGGGGTCCATAGTCCGAAGAAGCAAGCAGCAGATGATCTATCGGTTTTTCTGGCCGCGGATGGGTCTATGTAAATCGCAAGGAAAAGAGGAAGGTTGGCAAGGGCGAGGGTGACATTCGAAGAAACGTTTGATTTTTCAACGATCGCGCATGGGTCAACTCTTCGATGGATTCCACTTGGCTGGTGCTCACCCGGCAAAAGCTGGGTCCATGGTATCGCTGTATCAACTTTATGGACGCGTCAGGTGCAACATGCAAAGGGCAAAGGTTGGACCAAGCAGGTTGATGTGAGGGAAGCATAGCACAGAAAGGGTTGTAACCTTTTGTATGTAGGTGTACTACTGTAGGGTCGAAGATAGGTTGTACAGGAGAACGACTTCAGTTCTGTGTGCACACAGAATCACACGGATGTAAACGTCAACCGCGGGAAATAACGGCGTTCAGGTAGGGAGCAGTCGCCAACTCTTCACAGCGTGCCGCTATCGTTCCAGAATGGTGGCCCATCAGCGAAGGTCTTAACGGACGCCTTTTTCGCTCGCGGTCACTACCGACCGTGATAAGTTTTTCCCACGCAGGCGATGGGACCCCAAGACTGGAGCAAAGTGGACCCGTTCTTGTTTGCACTTTTGGTTGTCGATAAACAGCACACGTTACACCCCTTCGGCAAAGTATTGCCCATCAGGACGACGACTGTTCGTCTGTCAAATATGCGTTGTAACGTTTCCTCAGGAGCATCACCAACATAATCAGAGTTCGTTCACTAGCAGAGGACACCCTACTGAGCATGAGCTGCCACAATGACATCGTCAATGTTGATGGAGAGTCTGCACCTTTGACAAACTGCCCTCTTCGTCAGTGCAACCTCAGAAACGCAACGACACACCAACACCGCCTGCGGGGTCGCACAGGCGATAACGCCAAGCAGCAACACCATGTTCAGCATCGCCAGTGGCCTCCTGGTGGCCGCCCTCTTGTCGAGGACGGCTCAGGCGGGGAACTGGTTGAGAACGTCGCCGCGCGGGAACGCCCTGCCTGACGGTGAACCGCCGGCATCCTTCGACCGCAGGGAAAACGTAGTGTTCCCCGCGGGCGTGTCGAGCGAGCGGGACGTTCGCCCTGCCTTGCTGCAAACCAACAAGTTCTACTCGAACTTCCTGGTAAGACAGACACGAGGAAAGAAGGGCGCCGGGAACCGCTGGCCGGAGGACAGCCTAGGCGTTGCAAGCTCCGAGATGCTCCCCAATTCTTCTTGAACTATTGTGTCTCAAGGCAGCTGAACCCTGCCTCCTTCATTCGTCGCGGTACATACCCCCTTTGTCCAGGATAGCTCACTCGCCTCCTCCTTCTTTTGAGATCTTTTGAACCTCGTTCTCTTTCTTTTCTCTGCTGCCGAGAACACAGCTCGACAGGTCGGCGAGGGCACAACTGAGGATCAGCTGCAGATTGTTACCGCCATCAACAATGCTTGTTCCTGGGCTTGGATTTACTCTCGCTCTGTCTGTCGACCTACCTATGATTCGTGCCTTGACCCCTCCTCTCCATTCATCTACCTCACGCACTAATCAAGCACACATGCACGCCCCCTCTCGCGACATTGTTGGCTTCTTGAACGGCCGACACGTCGCAACAGCTCAATGGCCCCGCCCGCGCGGCGTGGACTCTACCGTACATCGTGTCCGTGAACGATGACCTCCCGTTCGGGATGAGCGTGGCATATCCCAAGTTTTTCGAAGGAGAGAGGTCGGAGGATGACCGCCTCGAGTGGTACGCAACTACCACAACGAAGGATATCGTCCTAAGCGCCGTGGTATGTATTGTTGGGCTTGGTGTGTGCGTGGCAAGCAGGGCAGTCTGGGATTATGCGGGCTTGGTAATGACGGGGCCAACGTGCGTGTAGGGCTCTAACGGCACGTTCGAATATAAGTAGGGCAAAGATATTTCTTGTGGAGAAGTCGTCTGTCCGTGTGGCAATGTGCGGCAATGTGCGTCAAAGGGATCCCGGCGCCAAACACCACTACTTTCTAATGTCATGCTGCACGCAGGTGTCGTCGAAATTCGCGGTCACAGCAGTACAAAGCGAATTTCGCTTTGCTTTTCGTTTGCTTTGGGTTTCACGATGGGAACCGTAAGAAAAAGTGTATGCCGGCATCACTGACGCACATAAGACAAGAGTTTGTCACCCAAGTTGACGCCGAAGCCAGTCGCAATCCAGGCGATGAACCTGCAAACCTCCACTGCGTGGAACAGCATTGACACGAACGACCCCCAGATGTAACTTTCACCTGCTGAAACTGAATCCAGAGCATTGTTGGTCTGTGATTTGGGCTTTTTTCTCTCTCTTTCTGGTGCTGCAGGAGTTGCACACCAACCAAGAGGCGACTTTGACCGACTTTGACGACCAGGGATTTACCGCATTCGTCAGTTTTTCTTCTGCTTTGGTGGATGGAAGCATGAAGACGTGGCTCGTGCGAGGAATGGTAAGACCGACCAACGTTCGCTCATTTGCAAGTGTTTCCGTCTTGAGGCTTACCGAATACGTATCGTCCAAGTCGGATTGTTAAACGTATTTCAACACGTCGGTCTCGAATCGTAATCTCACAGTAATCAAGAATCTTGGTGGCCATGTGTCTCCTAGCTTCCCCAAGTGTTTCATTCTTCCACCTTGCCAACGGAAAAGATCTTGTCCGATTCTGCTTTCTTTCGTTATATGCATTTTCGCACGTATTTGTTCTTTCCTACTGTCTGACGTTTCTCTCCCGACAGTGATGGGTGCTCCCTGTCGTCCCTCCCCTGTTTGGGTGCGGTAGCTCGTCAGAGGCCAAAAGAGAAAGGAGGTTGACTCAAGACCTTGTTGCTTAGAGAGTAAGAGACATGCGGTAGGCCACACCATCGCCATGCAGCATGTCTGTCAATACATTCCATCCGCGTACCCCCGGGAGGCCCCGTAGACAGTATACTCTGCCGAGCACATCAAACAGCCCCCCTGCTCGGTACGAGATACTATCTACGAAATCCCCGACACGACTATCATTGCCAGACAAAACGGCAGACAGAAAAACTAAAACCCCTATGCTAACAATAAATCATCCACCATTCCAATCCAAACGACTCTGCCAATAGAACATGTCCCACGAAATCGCCGGATCTTCCAACAGAACACGTGCAAAGCTTTCAAACCTTTGGATGTCAAATTTCTACCCCTAAAAGGTCTGTCAAGAAAAATAAATCACCCTCTAGAGAAAAGTGCTCTACCCAATTCTCAAGCAGTCAAAACACGAACAATCACCCTTGGAAAATACCCGGCAAAAAGATCAACGTTCCATCAGAATCACGTCAGAACGGGGAGGACGGGTAACTCCGGGAAAACGTGTCTTACGTCCTGACTACTCAGAACAAATTCATTCCTCAGATAAATATTCATGTTTCAACTCAATGGCCAGTTCAAACTACAAGAACATGCCAAACCCTCTCTCCGACATCCAATACCTTGACAAAGAAACCACTCCACCAGCCCCCCTGCTGTAACATCCATTCCATCCTGAACATGAAGTCAAAATCAAATCAATCAATCAATCCAACAGCCCCCCTGCTGCATCATTCATCCCGAAAAAAATCAAAACCAAGACAAACCACCTGCGACTAGGATCATGGAACAATACTTCCCCCCCCATGATTCTCACGCAGACCTATCCCATCCATCGCGAAAGCAGAAATCAACATCGAGCAGCAGATCAAAGGCCAGTACCAGGTCACAAACAAAACACATGATGCAAGAAAGGCCCCATCGCTGAAATGGTGCAACACAAAGAACAAAATCAACGAATATTCATCACGAAGTCACGATGCGCGCAAAAAGTCTCCTTGGGGAGCGGTTTGGTCAAGAAATCCGCGCGT